TTTGCTCATGTGCTAATCTTCCATATGATTTTTAATTATTTTATCCAGATCTCTAAATGTTTTGACAAGTTAAGCTGCTCTGAATCATTTTCAACAACCTCAGCTCTGAGAAAGAATGCCTTCAATTAAAATAATAACAAGTGAACAGTTCAAGGAAAATTTTACAGAAAAAACAAGAAAGGAAGGCATAATTCCATTGTCTGTGCCTCACAGTTGAACACAAGCTTTTTCCCATAGAGACATAATTTTTGGTTTCCACTTTGTTGTTATTAAAGACTCAAGGGTCTTCATCAAGTCCTGTGCTCTAACTGCTTTTTCAAAAAAAAAAAAATTGTCCATTTGTGAGTAAAGTTCCAGCAAAGAAAAAAAAAATGTATCTTGTTGCTAAGAACCTATAAATGCAAGATTTCAAGATGAGGAATGACCATGTTTTAATAAATTGTATGACGGGGGTTGGCTGTCCCATTCCACAGGCTGTAGAATCAAAAACATTCCACTCACACAGGTATGCATGTTCCCATAAAATGAAACACAGTTTGAGGCAATGTGATCAACTGCAGCAGAATGAAATCTTGTCATTTACATGACTAGTGATATGAGCACCCCAAGAGGGGTTGGTTATTAGCTATTGAAATATGGTTCTATGGGAAAGCATCATCACTGAGCAGTAAGATTAGAAAATTTCAACTGAGAAGTTTTTTAGGAACATGTAAATCCTCAATTGTTATACATAACCCCTTTCTTAGTTTTTTTTTTCCTTCTAACAAAAACATACAAGATTTTTTAATATATAATTTAAAATAATGGTGAAACATGTAGATAAGTAAAAAGTGTTATAAAACCTAAAGTTTTCTCCCCCAATTATTCATGTTATCGAATTGGGTCCCAATGTTCAACACTTAACAGAATCAATACTCACAGATGTTGGTAGAAAGGAAAGGCACCTTTAATCAGAATGCTGGCAATCTGGGGAGGTGGTGGACTCAACGTCCCCCAAAAAACACCTCCAAAGAGTCTGCTCAGCCATGAAAGCTTTTAAAGCCAAAAGGGAAGTAATCTCAGTTAATCATTGAGGTAGGGGGTCAGAGTCATCACCATCCTCCACTGTGTGTAAGCTTGTCAACTCCTCATGACCTTTCTTTAGATGCTATCTTGTTCACACAGTTTGTTTGTGAGATTACTGAAGGGGAAGCTAGGGAAGAGATCTGGTCATCTGTTAATTACTTATTCTTCATTTCTGCTTCCTTGATCTACAGAAAGAACCAACAAGTTAGGCAAAGTATTGTGTGACCAAAAGATTTGAAAGGTGTGCTAGGGCCCGAGATGAGTAGCGCATGGGGGTGCCTGGTTTAAGTTTAGCGACAAGACAAAGGGGTGTCTCCTGCAGAGAATTCTTTCCTGCAAAAAGCTTTTTTCCTACCAAAAGCTGTTTACATTCATGCACAGAAAGAACTTCAGAGAAAAAGAGTTACAATTTAGTTTAAATGGAAAATTGAAGTTCATAAGAACACAAGAAACACATTGGATCAAACCCATGCTCTAGCAAGACCAATAGTATATCTATTATCTATCTACCTATTAGCACACCAAAAGATGCCTAATGATTGCCACCAAGGATGTTATTCTTAAAAAATCCGGACTTTCATTTCACATAATTAAATCAATGGTGTGTATATCAATGATTATTTACACGCCTCTTTATGCTCTTTAAAAATGTACAGATGGTCTCTTACTTTCCACTGCTTACTCCTATTTTAGGAAACGTTGGGGCCATGCTCATATAGCCTCATGCATATTGTAGAAATATGATACAATTTGTTCTATTTGAATATAAAGGAGTTTGCAGACTGAATTGTTTAACAGCCTTGTCCCCCATCTTGGATTGTCTTTACTCTGTTTAGTTTAAACAATATAGACACAAAAGGTATGCCAGCTCTAGTCAGAGGGATATTTGATCACGTGATATGAGAAGTTTCCAAAAGCTGATAAGGATTGGTTTTCTTGTTGTACTCAGACTGAAAGTAATATTTTTCCAATGAAAGAGTCAGAAGAATCTGAAAAATCATAATCTGGAAAAAAGAAAGGTACACAAAAAAAGGAAAGAACAGAAACAAGTTTGCTATACCAGAAAAAGCAAAGCAAAAGAGAGAAGAAAGTAATTCAAAGGGAAATGGAGTTAGCCAGCAATGTTTGAAGATGAAGGGTGGCTAATGAAGATAAAGGCCAAGGAAAAGGGTTGCCTTTAAATATTAAATGACATAATCATAAGGGCAGGAGGTTATGCCTCCAGTTTTTTGTTTTCTGGTTTTTTTTTTAGGAAAACAATCTATTGGGAAATAATAGAACTTTAACTTCGAAATCAGCAATGTAGCCAGTTATGATTTCTTCCTTGGTAATTGTGATTACTGAAAACTATATAAAACCTTTTCTTGTTCCCCTGAGAGTCTCTGTGCTGGGAATGCATCTCTGGTAGCTCCTGTCTATTGGCTATTCCTTCTCCATTTCTCTCACCTAATTGGATGTACCTAATTAGCATTTCCTCCACCTGGTTAAGAGTTCGTGAAAGAGGCTAGATGGGAATTCTCAGGACGTAGTATCTAGGAAGTCTGGCAAGGATAAACCATTGACCAGGGAAATATTGCCATCCTCCTTCTTCTTACCCCCATCAGAACCCCAAAAGTACTTACCTATAATTAGGTGGTCATAAGTAAACTTAAGAAGAACAGTAAATAAAATTTAAATGTCACTGGACTGAGAAGGAATTAGATGGTAGTAAATAGAGGCATTAACTCTAAGAATGTTTCTGAGAAATTTATTGCTAAAGAGGGAGGCAAGGCAGTAGTTCTGAGGGTTTTGCAAAAGGACATGCTACCTAGATGTTAGCATGGAGGAGATGCTCACCAGAGAATTTTGTGTATGGCTTGCGTATTATCAGTAGATGATTCCTTTCTACTTTATGATTAATTAATGCTTCTGATAAAAATAATTCTGGTTATGCTCAAGAAGTAGCCAACCATTGGTTCAAATGTTTTTCTATGATCCGTAATCTATGAGATACACTGAGATATGCATGATAGTCTAAGCAAACAAACCTTTGAAACCTTCCATACTCTGCTCACAGACATTAAAAATCCATTACTCACAAAGTAAAAATTGTAATGTTTCAGCTAGATTTACCAACTTTGATCCTATTACCAACACAAGATTATTTCCCTTGCTTAATAGAAGTATATTGACTATTAGATTTCAGAAATGGTCATTTGGTGTCACTCTACTCTCAACCCCAAAATTATTAGCCTGGAAAATCATAGATATGGCATTATTACTTTGAGTGAGATTTTTTTTCACCTTGGTGTGATAATGCCTTTGTTAAATGAAAGAGCTGGCATAGTTGTAGGGGTGGTAAAAATTCAGATGAGGAATACTTAAAGTAAAAATATTAAATGCATCCTTTGACAGGTTTTCCTATAGCAAGGATGAGAGAGACTTTAGAAGCATAGCCAGGACTCTCCAATGAGGCTTCAAATGGTCTTGTTTGGTCTGCATTGAGCTAATTACCTGGCTATCTGCCAAAAAGCCCCTTTACCTTGTGCTATGTAGACTCTAATGTTAGATAATATCTCATTTTTAATGCTAAGAAGTGGCATTTGATGTTGTTACTAGTATTTGGTGGAAAGCAAGGGACAGGAGGTCAGAAACCGTTTCCTGGGAAGTGCTCTTAAACTGCTTCCTCTGCAGCAGAAAAGGTGAACAAAGAGAAAGCCTGTAGCCAGCATCTCCTTATCCTTCATAAGAATAAAGAAAAAGGAAAAGATTTAACATAACCTGCTCAGTGGTAACCTCGACTTTACAGTTTCAGAACAGCATAATTTGGGTATCTTATATGAGTCTGTCATATCCAAGCGTTTCAAAAATAAAACAGGAACAGCTTTTAATGCAATCTGTGTTTACTAATATGAGCTAATAAAATCTCATAATATTACTTTGTATTGCATTAATGGGTCCTGCATTATAAGATATTAGTTAAATCACCCATTATTTCAGTATTCGATGGGTTATTCATAGCAGAGTATGAGAGATCTGGTGGGAAGAAATAGGACGCAGAAGTACAAATGGACTTTTTAAAATAGGTTTTTATAAGAGCTTGGTGAAGAAAGGAGAGAAAGGGAGCAATAATACAAAGAGGGCATTTGGTTATGGAAGACCTAAACCTTATAGGAGGGGAAGGAGAGCTTCTAGAATTGCTGTGATGACTTGCAGGCTGCTCCAGTAAGTAGACATATTCAGAGATGACGGTGGTTTGATTGATAAGAGTGCTGTACCCTGAACTTGACCCTCGTTAAGCCTTCTGCCTTCCCTTATCTCCTCAAGTCTAAACACATGCACTTAAGGACTGAGACTGTGTCAGATGGACAGTAAGTATGTAATGGGGACTTTCCTCCAGGCTGTCTGACCAAGAGCCTGTACATTACACTGCCTCCTTATCATAGTGTTTTGAAAAAGACCAAAACATATAACTCTGTGCTAAAGCAGATACTATTACTTACTAGAAGGGACTATGGACAGATGGAAGCAGAGATCAAATATTTATGAAAAACACCACGTGTTCTTGTACACCAAGAATGAGTATTAAGTCTAGACAAAGTGGATGGTCTGAAGTCTGGAGGTTGTCATCTACTTCGTGCATCAGTGTAATGAGAGATTATGGATTCTTGTGAGTGAGGTAAGCATATAGAATATTTGCGAAGAGTATGGATCTTGAAAAACCATTATTCTATGGTTTTAAATAGTGACTTCTCAAAATTATTGTTCCTTCAACAAGTATTAGTTGACTTTCTGTCATAAAATCTTTTCCAGTCATCTTTCTCCCTCCTTCCTACCTTTATTAGATTTTTTAAAAATTCAGTGTGTAATAATCTAGTACTGACTTTATTCATTTTGCTACTTATACCAACCCAGGTTTGGCCCTTGGCAAAGTAATGGAACCTCCCAAGGGGATCATGGGGACTCCCGATTTACAGCTAATCAGTCAGAAGCTCAGGTAACAATCTGAACAAGTGATTGGCATCTGAAGCTGGTAGGGGAGAGTCTTGTGGGACTGAGCATTTAACCTATGGGAGCTGACTAGACAGTGTCAGAATTGAGTTAAATTGTAGGACATCCAGCTGGTGTCCCGGAATTTCTTGGTGTTGGGGAAGAAAAACCCACATGTGGTGTCAGAAGTGTTGTGAGGACGGTAGTAGTATTGTGAGAGTAAAAAGGAAACACAGGGGAAGTTAGTTTTTCATACACAGAACTGTTTCTGAAATTTTGCAATTAAATATAAGGCAATGTTGCTACAATGATGCAATGAATACCTTGCACATTTTTTTCATATTAATGGAGATGTATTAATACCTAGGTGAATACCTAGGGTTTGATGGACAAAAGTAAGTGCAAATGTAGTTCTATTAGATATTAGATATTACCAAATTCCATTCTGTAGGAATTTCCACCAGTAATATACTAGAGTGTCTGTTTCTCCACAACCTCAACACAATAATATGTGCTCAACATTCAAATTTTTGCCAAAGCAATAGGTAAAACTGGCATCTTAGTGGTTTTAATTTGAATTTCTTTTATTGTGAGTAAAGTTGGAAATATTTCCATATGTTTACAGGCTATTTTTATATCATTTTTTGTTAATTTCCTATTTTCTCAATTTGTAAAAAGTTCTTTATATATTAGGAATATTAGCCTTCGATGTGTGACATACATTGTAAATGTTTTCTCCCAGTTTGCCATTTGTATTTTGCCTCTGATGATTTTTGTCATGCCCCAAATTTTTTTTTAGATATTTAAATTTAGCAATATTGAACTGGATTTTGAGTTATAGTTAGAAAGCTTTTTCTTTCTCATCAGGTTCTAAAGAAATTCACCTACTTTTTCTACACGTATGGTTTTATTTTTATACTTAGACCTTCTATGCTTTCAGAGTTTATTTTTGTGTATGGTGTGAGGCATAAATCCAATTTTATCTTTATACAAATGGCTGTCCATTTGTCACAACAGCATTTATTAAAACATCCATCTTTGTCCCTGATGATCTGATAATTTTTAATATAGTACTAGATATATAAAAAAGTCACGTTTCATTATCAATAGCTCCTTTATGCCAGCTGCTATTGCTATATTAATGTTCCCAAACACAGTTGTTATTATATAACATTTACCCTATCCTAAATAAGAGCACCCAAACAACCAATATGTGACAGTTTTTAAATTAAGTATGAAAGTTTAAGCTTACTGCTGCTTCTTGCAATATGGCAGACAAGGTACTCTGAAAAAACTCTATTTAAGACATGTAGAAATTCTGGATAAGAGTCAATAACCAACATTGATAATGCATTTCTAGGCTTAAAAGAAAATAAGTTAAACCAAAATGAAGAGAAAACTGAAATCTGATCAGGAAACAGGATGGGAAGCAGGAGTTGAGTTATTTGTCAATATCAGGAAATAAACTGCTATGCCCTTTAGCCCATATAAGGCAGGAAAACTAAACTACGATCCCAGAAAAAGCCAGATCTCTTAATAGTATTCCCTTAAAGAAAGGGTAGAATTTTAAAAAATCTATCTTGTGGCTCACAGGGAAATCTTGGGCCAGCCAATCCCACTTCTTACAATATAGTCTCAAGAAATGCTTGTATTGCATACATGTGCCAGGAGACATGTACAAACATAAAAATAAGTCAAATATCTAAGACTTTTAAAAAATTGTGATGAACTCATTTAATAGAAAAATACAGCATTAGAAATGAATACTCTACCCCAATATCAACACAGATGAAACTCACAAACAATGTTGAGCAAAAGAGTAAGTAAGATACATGTTTTCAATTTAAAATACGTGTAAAGTAAAGGATGCATCTTATCTAGGCATGTCTACATAAGTGGTATACTATGAAGATGTTCAAAGAAATGATAAATACAAAACTCTGCTTGTGTTCAAACTCTGGAAGTGGAGAAGAAAGTGAGTGTAATGAGTGCATGGAGGGCTTCAAAGTGTTAATAATGTTTTATTTCTCAAGCCGGGTGTTATTTTATTAACATCTGTTTATATTGTATATTCAGTTCATTTATTTACCCTACAAAGATTTGTCAATCACCTACTATGTGGCAGATGTCATTCAAGGCAGCTGGCGAACAAAACAGATGAAAAATTGTGGCTTTGGTGGAGTTTGTGTTCTAGAAGAGGAATACAAAAATAAATTTTAAAATACTATAAGTAAAAAACTATATAGTATGTAAGAGGAAAACGAATAGCAACATAAGTTGTGTTGGTAGTACAGGTGGTAGAAGGAAGTTTTATTCGGCATAATGTAGGGTGGGAGGTCTCACTGAGGTGGCATTTGAGCAAAGACTTAAAGAAAATGAGGGAGGATAAGATATTTTGAAAGAAGAGCATTTTAGCAGGTACAACAGCTAGTGCAAAGCCCTAAGGCTGGAGCATGCCTAGAGTGTTCATGGATTAGCAAAGATGCCAACATTGTTGGAGCAGAGTGAATAGAAGAGAAAGTAGCAGAAAATGAGGTCAGAATTGTAAAGGGTGGTGGTTAGAGATATTCTAGGGCCTTGATGGCAAGTGTAAAGGTTTTGACTTTTGCTCTGAGTGAAAATGGGGAGTTAATACAAAACTATGAGCAGAGAAATGACTATTTTTTCTTCTAGTCTTATTGAGATATAATTGACATACAACACTGTATAAGTTTAAGGTATATAACGATTTGACTTACATACATCATGGAATGATTACTACAATAGATTTAGTGAACATCCATAATCTCATATAGGTACAACATTAAAGAAATAAAAAAATATTTTTCCTTGTGATGAGACCCCTTAGGATTTGCTCTCTTAACAACTTTCACATATACCACACAGCCGTGTTAGTTATTTTTACCATGTTGTACATTATATCCCTAGTACTTATTTATCTTTTAATTGGAAGTTTGCACCTTTTGACTACCTTCATCCAATTCCTCTTGCCCCAATTCCAAGCTGACATTTTTTTTTAAATTTCCTTTTTAAAATATCAGTCCCCTGAGGTGTGAAGAATAGACTGCAAGGGGACAAGGATATAAGTGAGATAACCAGTTAAAAGGCCACTGCAATAATCAAGGCAAGAGATGATGGTGATCTGAACCAAGATAGTAGTACAAGAGCTAGTGAGAAGTAGTCAGATTCTGCTCTGAATTTAGAGACAACAGGATTTCCGGATGGACAGAACATAAAATATGAGAGGGAAAAAAAAGAGTCTAGGAAAACTCCAAAGTGTTGGGCCTGGGCAAAAAGAATAGAGTTATCATTATCAAGTTAGCACTTCTTTTTCCTTGTAGTATTCTTTTGTAACTTACATATTTTTTAATAAATAGTATTATCCATACATATTATACTAGAAATTAATATTCCCTTCAATATATGTCTTGGAGATCTTTCCGACTCATTACGTATAGGTCTAACATGTTCTTTTTGGTGACTGAAAAACATTCTTGGAGATTCTAGTATTCACATAGGTGATCCTTCCAACACCCTGGTCTCTCTATCCTACCACTTATTCCCATGGTCATACTTTAGACCTGTGCTGTCCAATATAGTAGTTATAAAAAAAAAAAAGAATAGAGTTATTATGAACTGACTTAGGAAAGACTGTGAATTTGAACAATAGAAATGTATATTCTCACAGTTCTGGTGGATGGAAGTCTGAGATCCAGGTGTCAGCAGGTTTGGTTTCTTCTGAGGCATCTCAGGCTTGCTCTATTCTCTTTGTGTGTTCACATGGTCCTTCTTCTTTGCACACATGTCTGGTGTCTCTCTGTGTATCCTAATCTCCTCTTCTTATAAGGACAACAGTCAGATTGGATTAGGGCCAACCCATAGGACCTCATTTTACCTTAATAACATTTTTAAAAGCCCTATCTTCAAATACAATCACATTCAGAAGTATCACATTCAGAATGTGAACAATCACATTCAGGTTAAGACTTCCACATCTGAATTGGGGTTGGGAGTCAGAGGGTCTGGGACACAACTGAGCCCATAACAGTGGGTAAGTAGGTTTGGGATGGAAGATTAAGTAGTGTAAGTAAGTACATGTTAATTTAAGATATTTTGGACATCTACATTAGAGGTGTTGAGTAGGCAGTGTGACACATGGGTCTAGAATTCAGAGAAGAGATAATAGCTAAAGATATAAGTTTTAGTGCCAGCAGTGAAGTTTAAAGCCATGAGACTTGATGAGATCATCAAGGGAGTAAGTTTAAGCAGAGAAGAAAAAGAGGACCAAGGTTGGAGCCACTGGGCTCCCTAAAAGTAAGTAATTGACAATAAGCAAGAGCTATCAAAGGAAACTGACAAAAAACTCTAAGAAGAAGATTCAATAAGCCATGAAAAACAAGGCAAAAGTAGCAAGAAAGAGGGAATGATGCAGTAAATATTACTGAGGGGTCAAATAAGATAAGGTCTAAGAATTGGTCAATGAATTTGTCAGTATGAAGGTCATTGGTGAAATTGTTAAGTGTTACATTGGTGAAGGACAGAAACCTGAGTGGAATGGGCTTAAGAGAGAATAAAACCAGAGAACCTGAAGTCAGAGTAAAGATAATTGTTTCAAGAAATTTTGTCTTAAAGGCGAACAGAGGAAAAGGGGAATGGCTGATGAGGAATACGGGGTCAAGGGAAACTTATTTTTAAGATGGAAGAATAATGGTGATGAGAAAGATCCCATAGACAGGAGAAAACTGATGATGGAGAGAATTGATAGAGCAATTTCCTCAAGAGAATGAGCAAAACTGTGATCTGCTAGAGGGATTATCTTTAGATGGAAGGAGTAAAAACAATAACAGGCTTATATACATTATGTATAAATTATATATACCATGTATATAATGTACTGTATAACATATATATAATGCACTTATATATCATATATTATTTGCATATATATAAAGTATTTCAGGCTTAAGTCTCACTTAACTTTAAGAGTTAATATTTTGCCTGCCTCTCCCCCTGTTCCATTCTTCTGGAAAATGCCCACTCATACTAGGTGGGTGCTTCTGTAGAGGAATGTGGGCTGCTCATTGCTCAGTGGGACGAATATATGATTCACAACAGTTTATAGTAAATGGTTTAGGTATAGTCATGTGACCACTCAGTGTCCTTCCCTGAATTTTTCAAATAAGAGCTGAGGAAATGTTCTTCTTTCCCCTTTGATCTCAGTATTGCAAGGCTGTGAGCTTGAAACTTCCTGCCATATGGATAAGCTGTCCTAGAGAATAAAGCCCATAATGAGACAAACAAAGAGAGGATGCAGAGAATAATTTATTCCTGACATTGTTTGTGTCCAGGGTTCTGGTTGTCATTAAGGTCATCTCTACAGAGTCCTTCCCAGTAAACTGAATTGTGAATATCTTTTTTAGGTGAAGCTAAAAGAGGATAGTCAAGGTATTCAGGGACCTCCAGAGCTGATACAAATCATGCTTCTGGTCTTTTCTTTCTACCATAACATTTGTTCTTTGGGTTTCATCTGCACTAAATTGTAATTGCAATCAAACTTAACTTTTCCTCATCTCTCACACCTCACATCTTAATAATCAGCTAATTCTTCAGCCTCCACAATCAGTCTTTCCTGAGTCAGAGCCTCACCTCTGCCATTTTAATCCAAGCCACTTCCATGTCTCACCTTGTTGAATGAACAAATAATTCTTGATTCCTGACTTTTTTCTAGGTTTGCTCATTCTGTTTCCTCTACCAGGGGTTCGCCATCTACTCAGCCAATACTGTCCCCTGTACTATGTAGGGTCCTGATCCCTCCAACCTAAAGTGACTTTTCCCTCATTAAAACTCCTTATCTCTCTTATGTGACTCCTTTCATTTTTGCTTTGCCTATAGTTATTTGGGACCTCTTATAAGATGATAATCACATTGAGAGCAGTTTGAGTCAACACTGTTTATCTACAACCCCTTGTATATACTATGTTCTCAACAAGTATATATTATGCTAAGTTATTAAAAATTAACCTAGTATGTTTTTGCCATTTAAGAAAACTGTATTTGACTGGGGGAAATATTAAGCAATATAGGTTATGATATACTCTACTACTACTTACAAAGTGAATTTTGATAAATTTTAAGATTAGTAACAATGGGTGGTGAAAAGATGAGACTTTACGCCTCTTGGTATCCTTTGTTTCCATTATTTTATGTTCCCTTTTTCACTCTAAACTTTGTTTAAGACTGAGAAAATTGATCTGCAGACCGGGAGACCGGAGCGCTGTGCCTGGCGAGAGGACGGTCGTCCGCGTGTTCACCGCCTCCTCCTCGGGCTTCGTGGCGATAAAGAAGAAGCAGCAGGATGTGGTTAGATTTCTGGAAGCCAACAAGATAAAGTCTGAGGAGGTGGACGTCACGATGTCAGAAGAGCAGAGGCAGTGGATGTACAAAAACATCCCCCCGGAGAAGGAGCCTGTTCAGGGCAACCCTCTGCCACCTCAGATATTTAATGGGGACCGATACTGTGCAGATTATGACAGTTTATTTGAATCCAAGGAAAGCAACACAGTCTTTTCATTCTTAGGCCTGAAATCACAGTTGGCATCAAAGGAAGAACCTTAGTGAAGACAAGTGGAAGAGGACGGAGATGCATTTTGCAGCACCCCTGGTACTCAGCACACACCTGCTTACCTAATGCATCAGTGTGACAGAAGCCACATGCATTATCAGTAACTTTGCTTGCCATGGAAAAGGTGTTTGGGGAACATCAGACATGGGTCTGATGGGATTGCATGAGTGCTTTAAACCAAGTCAGGACCATGGTGGGTTTTTTTTCTTGTTTTCAGAATTGCCTGCAGTTGCCTCACTCACCCGGAGGTACTGTCACCTGTTACAGGTGTGCTTCCTGAATAACTGAGTGATAAGCAGGTGGCACCATCAGAGAGAAAGTACTGGATCTGCCCTGGGTTGTAGTTGATGCCAGGATTGCTGAGACCTGCTTCTCTTCAGGCTGCCAAGGTGGTATCTTTGAAATTAGTCTGCCAGGCTATTAGAATATTTTGATCAGAAAGAAAAAAAGCAATGTTGGTTGACAAAGGGCTAAAGATCTTTGCTGCAGATTCATGAACATCACTATTCCAGTGCTTGTCATAACTGAAGAAAAAGTTAGATGTTCTAGCCTCCTTTTGGTAATGGAAATTCTTACCCCCATAAATCCTCCAAGCCTCTACAGATGTTTCCAGAAATCACTGTTGCAGCAGTGTGTGATCAGAACCGAGTGACAGGGATGAAAAGAATTGCTCTTTTAAAAAATACATGCTTCTTTATCACTTACAAAGGAAAAGTTTCACCTAATGTGTAAGATTGCTTAAAAGATATATTTAAAGAGGTGCACTGACAATTAATTTATAGAGACATAATCTGACTCGTACCTGAAAGCATTTCAGCTTTAGCAACTTTAGCAACTTATTTATGCATAAGTGCACATATATTTTTAAACGCAGCTCCCCTAACTAATAGCTGCTTATATATTTTGCGAAGGGATCATATTTTTCGAGAAAGGAAGATCTCGGTTAAATATATTTTGTGAACCCTTGATGAGGCAAATTAAAAGACACTAATATTGCTGCACAATTTAATTTTTTTCCTGTGTTACTTTTCATTGGTCCTCTGACTCTGCCAGCTCATATCTCTGGCCAATGCACAGTCCCGGATTTTCAGAGTAACATAGATACGCGTTTTCATTCCATATATGAACACCAGTGATATTTCAGAACAGAGTACATACCAGAAAGGGGCTGTCAGAGACTCACTCTGAATTGTACTTGGCATGTGAAATCTCTCCTTCCTTTGGAGTTGTTGCTGATAAACACTGAACCTGTCGACTTCATTAGGGCAAAGGCTCCTTTTCTGCATCCTTGTCCCTGCTCACAGTTTTAGAGTTTCTAGTTGCCAAACTTGGGAATAGTCTTGAATAGAATAAATTCAGAGGGTTACCTAAGATATTCTGCTATTCCCAGCATCCTGATGGTGAACCTGCCCTTTAGATTCTGAGCAGGAAGTTTGTAAGAAATGGAAAGAACAAGAATTTAGGCCCTGTCACCTGTGTTCTCTCCCTCCTATTCTAAAGCTAACATCCCAGGACTGACATCCCAGCCTGAGATTTGCATCCCAGGACTACAGCCAGAAGAAAAGCATGCCACTGATTCCTATATGACTGGAACAGATACATAATCCACAATTTTCTCTCCCACGAAAGCTGCTGTAAAATCATGGTTATAACTGCTTAGTTGGCATTAAATACGATCCAGGTCAAATTCCACTTGATAAATCCCAGGGACTATCCAGGAAATTTTTTTTGAACTGGATATTGTGTTAAAGTCTAAGAAGACTTAGAATTTCTTAAGATACAGCAATTTTTAAAAAGTTAACGTTGCAACGGTCTAACTTACATTTTGTCTACTCTTGCCAGTGAGTACCAAGAAGCAACTTGTAAGATTGAGTCTTGGGGTTGTAGGATCAATACAATACTTGCTAGACCAAGAAAGCTACTCAGAATTGTTTGTCTCAAAACTTCTGAATTACTCTGGTTGTAGTAGGCCCAGTATGGCTGTCCTAAACAGACGAGATGAACAGGAGTGCTAAATTATTTACCACAGTTACAGATCATCTACCCCACCCCACATTTTCTTTCTTTCTTTCTTTCTTTTTTTTTTTTTGGAGCAGCAAAGAAATAGGAGAGACCAGCTTCAACTGGTATTGTACTTGTTATGAGCGAGCTAGAAGCACATTGTGTGGCATTTCCCTCAGTACCCAGGCTCGGCAGAGTCCTAAGGTATTGCCCTCTGGGACCACACCATGTTCAGAGAATACTGTGTCCTTACTTGTGTTTTACCAGCTGAATTCCAAACATGTAATGGTTTTCTTCATCCCTTCTTTAACTAGCTACCTTTAGATCTGGAGAATCACAGTCTTAAAAATCTAGGAAAGAAGTGGATGGGAATTGCAGACATAGGTGTAATATCAAGAGCATTTTAAGACAGAATTTTTATTTCCTATACTAGGCTTGTTGGGGCAAAGAAAATGTGCTACTAAAAATCAAATTATGCCATTTTAAAATGAGATAAAATACAGAATGCCATCCTGCTAGGTATATGCAGACCAGAAGAAAATTTAGTTGGGGAAGTACTTGTTTTTCCAGATTCTGGTATTCTATTAAAATCAAAGAGGAGAAAAGGAAGATTTTTTTTTTCTCTCAGGCTCTAATATATTTTAGATTTGTTTCTGTTTTATAGATTTATTCAACACTCCCACATAGCTGTTTTTATATTACATGAATTTAATAATGAACTAAACTTACTTTTGTCCTCTGTTGTTGAAAGGTACCAAAGCCTCTTTGTGGTTTGTTTTGTTTTGTTTTTTAATTTGATTTTGCTGTATAGGGTTTTGCCTTTTCTAGAAATGCTTTTCATGTAACATCTTTTCTAAAGTGTCAGAGCCCATTTTGATCTGCAAAATTATTGTTTTTAGATTTCGGTTTGTATGCACTTGTCTCTAAAGGCATTGGTGAAATCTCAGATTTTATATTCAGCATTAAAGAGGAATAAATTCCAGGAAAAAAAAAAGACTGAGAAAATAGAGCAATAATGCAGGAAAAGAATGTGGAAATGTGGCATTTCAGAAAACAACATGGATATGCCATTATTCTTGGACTGCAATATTTTGCTCCATGGAAAAATATCCTGACCTCAGTTCAAGATAGCCTTCATGAACAGAAACACATCAGTTGATACCTCCATATAATTGTTGACTTAGCAGCTGCCGTCCTTGCTTTATAAATATTGTCTCATTTTCGAAACTTATTTGCTTAAATAAAAGCTGCTGCTATGAGGCTTATAGGCTAATTATGCCTATTCACAAAATAATGTTTTAAATTTGTTGCTAAAAATTTCTGGATCTAGTAGCAAAATTATTGTAACATAAAAAATGCTATTTACCATTTGTAGTTAAGAGCTGATAGAGACCTGATTCACTGTGGGATGGACCACGCAAGGGTATGAATACCAGGAGGCAAGGGTGATTGGGGGTCATCTTAGAGGCGGCTGTCGCAGTATATTATGCAAATTTGAGAAACAATACTGTTTGTGAATAGTTTGGGGAGTCTTCAGGGCCCCTAGTATTCTCCATGGCCCCTGAATACCCTGAAGACAATGAAGAACAATTTGTCATTCTTGTGGGAAACATGGAATTAGTAGGCTGTGATCCTTGTGGCTCCTGTCCCCAAGATCTGTGCGTCCTTTTCCCAGAATGTTTACATATTGCAATAAGGAAGGAGACTACGTAATGTCTACATATTCCCTGTTAGAAGTTCTTCTTTGTTTAGAAACTACGCTCAAGAAAGTAAAAAAAAAAAAGGAGCAGATAGAGATAGCCCACGGCTTCATCAATACTCTTACACATTGAACAACTTACATCTCTTCTTTTAATACCACATTTTGTCAAACACATCAACATGAAATGACAGAGATTAAACATCTTATGACTGTGTAAGTAAAACCATCATGTTAGCATTAACATTCATACCAAACATTAGAACATCCTAAACTGAAGAGAATTCTAGCCCATGATCACCCATTCTAAAAATTTGAGTTTACAGATGGTGAACCTAAATAATAAAATGTATTATCCTATTAACCTATACTAAGAAACCCCCATTGCATGCAAAAGCTAATAGTTTGTCGCAGCTACAAAAATAAAAAGCAGCACCATCAGACTAATAATGCCATATGATCTGCCATGTAATGAAAATACCAAACGTTATATTCCTGAAAAAAATGGGAATTTTTTTCTCTGGCTACGGAATGTTATGTTCCCTTTGGATTATCTTCTGTGGGCCCATTTTTACCCTGAGATAATAAAAGCTTTGTATGAGTAACCTAGGATAGACTACGGTCTTTTGAAACTAACTTTTTCTTACTGCCAAATAAATCTCTTTTAAATATGTTCTCTGTGAGGCAATCATGACATCCATTGGCCAATTGGATCTGGGGTTATGCCTGGATACTTTCCACATTGCACGTGGTTGTCAATTTGAATTGTGTATCAACTACCCATCATATCTGGCACATCTGTACTTAACATTGGCATTAATTTTACCCTATTGTTCTAATTGCAGTACTTTGATGTAATGACACCATTCAATTCACAGATGGTACTGGTGGGGGGTTTTCCCAAAAAAATATAATGTAATTTTAATTTGGAATGTGAGAATGCCAAAAATAAGAGCTTCATTGATTAAGTTATCCGAGCCTGCTAAACATTTGAACATTTGAAGTACATCGGAAAAACTGGGAGAGAGAACAGCAGGTTTCAGTACCAACCTACTGCAAATGTTTTGTTTTTTGATTATAGTCTCTGGGGCTCATAAGACTTATCTGTCCACAAACTAACTTTGACATACTTAGGAAAAGCAAAAAAATAAAATCTATATTTTCAAAAAAATAAACTCCTTTTTTTAAAGGTGAAATCATTTGGTGAATTGAGAGGTCTGAAATTTGAAAAGTAATCATTTAATTTAAATGAATAAATTTTAAAACTACTTAAAGGATCATCACAGATCTGATGCCTATATATATATATATATATATATATATATACACACATATATACATATATATACATATATGGATATTCCTGTGACATCATGAAATAAAGCCTATTACAATTTGTATTTTATAGAATCA